CCCCAAAACCCCAAAACCCCAAAACCCCTGCTTACTTTTGGATAATAGAATTATGAACAGGAATATGGAAGTACATGAGGTTATAGCAGGGCTTTCTCGAAAGCTTTATGGAGGAGAGATGGTGAGTTTTGGGTATGGGTTTTGGGGGTTGAGTGGGGATTTGTGGGGATTACTCTCCCTTACTCTTCACAAAAGTGCACTTTCCTAATCTTTCTCTAGCCTCACCTCACCAAAATCTCAAGGAACAACACCACTAAACACCAAACGCCACAATATTCCTTCTATCGTCCATCAAAGTCCCAAATTTCACTGAATAAAAATGCTTCTGCTTTTTCCTCTACAAACAAAGCCAGCTTCATTACTGAAGCCAAACAAGGCTTCAGCAGGAATTCCAGACTAAACATAGGCGGTCACGGTGACCAAGCCAGCTGAAATGAAGGATTCTGTACTGTGAGTTTACCCCAAATGTAAGTTATGAAGGGAAATTGGGGCCTTAAGGCAGGATGAGGGGGAACAGGGGACTTTTTGAGGAATGAAAAGGGATAGGTTAGAGGGGGAAGTTTGGGGTGAAGGAGATGGGTTTTGACGGAAATTTTATGTGTGTGGGATGTGGGGGTATTTTCAGATTTTTCTTTTTGGGATATGTTGGAGTTCGGTTCGATTAGTTTTTGGAATGAGTCGTTTTTATAAATATTCTACTTCTTGGTCGCAGAGTTGTAATAAGATCAATGAATCCAGGTCTATAACTTAACAACTTAGATCCTATTGTTTTCGGCTTAAAAGTCTTTATAAATTATTTGCTAATTGCTGATAATTAAAGCAACAGTAAGCATTTGTTAATAACTTATTGATCCATGACTTTCATGTCCGGAATCAACTTTTGGAGAATTTTAATAAATAATATGAACAAAAGTTTAACTTAGAACATTTGTTATAAATATTTCTAAAGCTAAAAATTGCACTATAACTCTACCTTGGGTTGATTAAGCAAGCTTTCTATAGTTCTAAAACTGAGTTGAAGAATTATCTAACAAAGTCAAAAGATATCGGAGTCAGTGAAAAGTTGAAGATCACCAAATTATATGAAAAACATTATACAAATTCTGGAACTCTTCAGGCTCCTATTCGTCGGATCCGAAGGAGGAATAGGAAAATTGCAGTATTGGAGCCAAAAATAAAGAAGAATCAGATACTAAGTCTTCATAAAAATACCTCCGAAGGGCTGAAGAAATCACTTCAAAGGTAAGATATTTGACACATTATGTTTTAAGAATTTCTGGTGTTTTAAAACTTCATCAAAAATAGCCTGTGTGCTTATTTTGGAACAATCAAGTTGTCATATTTCATAACTAATCTTTGTATTACAGTGGGACACCTTTTAAAGCGATGCTACCAAATGTATCTAACCTTCTTTACCCAAATTCTAACTATCAGAAGGAGATAGAGAGGTTATATGAAGAATCTCCTTTGAAGCACAAAAGGAGTACTTTCTTGGACTGTACGTAAAAATCTCTCTTTGGATAAAAGTTTATAATCTTTAGATAAAAGAAGGACTTTTCTACCACCTCCAGCTCCTAGTGACTTCAAGCATGATGCCAGGAAAGGAAATATTTCAAGAAAACAAGGAAGACTGTACAAATTGAGGCACCTCAGCAAAACAAGGTCATAAGACATGAAGTATTATAATCTTTGTATTCTAGAAAATTTGCTACTACCTTCTTATCGTTCTTAATAACTTTATCAAATGTTTGGCTCTGTACTTACCAAATTTTGCTTCAAATATTTCTTGAGGAGAAATAGACCATTAAGAATTATATACAATCAGGAAGAATTTTTCTCCCTTAAAAAGAAGAGGAAAATTCTTTATTCCCAATTTATGTCTTCCATAAAATACCTACCTTTTTACACTATCTCAAGCTTTCATAAATCCAAATTACTAATAACCATAAAAAGTATCAAACATTAAGATCTTCTCACGACCCAAAATTCGCTACTCTAAACATATCAAAATTCCTAATCTTTTCCTCTACAGTAAACCCTCAATTCCTGTTTTAACTACAAAATTACATCTGTTATTCCCTCCTTCACCGATTTCAGCACAGAGGAAATCAGCGATTTGTTCATGAATTTGGTTGAATTTTGAGCAAAAAAATGAAATTTTTTAGAAAATGGAGGATTTTTGGGGTTTTGGAAAATTTTGAATTTTTTTGTGTGGAGATGGAAGGTGGTTTTGGGAGATTTTAGGTATGGTTCAATGAATTGTGAGGGGATGGGGTTTTGGGGTTTTGGGGTTTTGGGGTTTTGGGG